TTTTTTTTTTTTTTTTTTTTTTTTTTTTGCTTGATTCTAAAGTAATTCATTTATTGTTGAGCGGAAATCATGAAGGTAAAAAATGTTTTGCAGATATTTTTTCAAACAGTTTTATGCGAGCGATAAAGACGAGAATCTGTGGAGATTAATAAGAAGAAAATAGATGAAGATTGATCTGGAGGGGGTGGAGGGGTACTCGAAACGTCGTTATTGCCATTTTTCAATCATTTTATTCCCACTGCTTTCTTTGTCTTTTTCATTGCTAATTTTGCTCATTTGGCAATGGTTTATTCAAAAAATTGATTTTTCATTACTTATGAGGAAAAGCACTTGAAATTGGATATAGATTCCAAGAAATAGGCTGACAGTTTTCGTCTACACCACAGCTCTGGTCAACGGGGATTGCTAGTGTGGTCGTAGTCTACAGGATGCATCAGCACCTATCGGTTGTTCTATTGTTCTGTTCATCTAAACAGTGAGTCTTAATTTTTCTCGGCATTATCCACTCAGATTTATTATCTTCCACTGAGCTTAGGTTCTTTTTTTTTTTTTTTGCACACTACGGTTTCTCAATCTTCCTCAAAATTGCTTATTCCTAAGGCGTTCCCTGAATGTGGTTTATTAGGAGGGATCGTCTACTCGTGGTTCTTTTTTTGTTCCAAGCCCTTTCCGCTTAGTTTACTGAAAAATCAATGCCAAAATTGGAATTCTCATCCAGCTATTTGGTTTTTTCAATGTATTTTTTTCTTGAGTATCTTACTGCTTGAAACTTTTAGTTCACTTCTTATATTAGTATATGTTTTTTAATCTTAATTTTACTTGAGAGATATTTTGATTAATATTTTGAACGCTACTGGTGTCCGGGTGAGAATCTGCAATTTTTTTAATATTTTTATGTGAAGCTTCAAGTGAAGCCTACCGCATCGACGGTCAGGTTTGCTTTCAAAAAATTGTTTTCAATCATTTCTGAAGCTTCAAAAAAATTTTTTAAATGGTTTTTGTCAGTTCTTTTTATATGCGTATTTATTATTTTTGAGTATTTTTGCTACGATCATTTAGTAGCATATTGTTGGGATGGAGTGCCAGAGAAAGTTGGGTTTCATTTCTGGAGAATTTCTAAGTTTTCTTCCTCAATGCTTAAAAATTCTGTTAAGCAGTAATAGGTATGAATTGTTGTTATTATAACAATTGTAACATTAGTTCAAATCTAGAGTTTTAATGGATTAGGCCTACTTTGTCTGCTACTAAAATAGTGAACAGATTGCTCATTACATTGACGGAGCCGAGCGTTGTTTTCAATTTCCTGACGACGGTATACGGAAAGTTAATGGATAATGTAGAGTTCTAGTTCTAGTTTGCTATTGTTCTGGTACTTCCGTGTTTGTTTTGTAAAGTTTAAGACTCTTGTCGGAAGGTAAGGTATTTACTTTGTTAGACATACCGAGAAAAATTATCATCAGTTTTGTAAGTTCACCTTTGAACTGCTATGACGCTGGTGAATATATAGATCTAGAGAGTATGAGCAAGCCACGTTTTGCTGGCTTCAAGTGACGATTGATTTATGTGAGAAAATTGAAAGTTCTAGTCAAAAATATTGTTGAATTTTTTTTTTTCGTTTTAAATGAGGAGTAATTTGTGGAATATGTTTTCTAGTTCCTTTCTAAATATATTTCTTTTTAAATGTAATTTTAGTTGTCTTGCAAAAAGCTTTATTAAATAGTCGTTTGTGCTCGAAAGATACATCTTAAAAACGTTGCTTTGATTATTTTTTCTTTTTTGCTTGTAGTTGCATTGTTCTTGTAAAGAAATTTATAGATTCTTAACGTAGTTCTTACAATTGTTGTACCTTCAGCAATATTATTTCAACTTTTGGTGAATTGTTCTTACGAATTATCTTTACAAGTTTTTTTTTGTCGTCTACAGTGTTGGTCATCTTCGTATTACTACTTTTTTGATTACTACCGTACTAATTGCTGTCATTTTTGTTAACATTTTTTTTAGTATTGAAGATTTTTCACACAACAAAAATTTGTAGAAGACGTTAGTAGAAGAAATCTTGTTACCGGTTCTAGTATACTGATAACCAACTTTTCCCTTTTTTTTTTGTCTTATTCTTTATTGACATTTTCGGTTCTTTTAGAGTTCTGAACAATCTTCGAAGACGTTCTCGCTTTCGTCTTAGCAACACTTTTGAATTGTATCCTTTTCAAAATTTCTTTCACACATTTTTGCTCGATTCTTAACGCTTCTTGTTGTTTATTGATCATCAACTGATTTACGAACGTTAATGTATACAGGAAGAGGAGCAGATGTTTCAAGGGAGTATTTTCTGTTGAAATGAGTAGTTGCTTGAAACTGTTCGGAAGAAAAAGTGATCGAATAGTTGATATATTTGATATTTACAGATTTTTATTCATTTATTCGTGCAAAATTCGTGGTCACTTTATGTTGAACAAGTGCATAAATTGAACCCGCAATTTTGCCTGCATTATTATAGGTGTAAAATCTTTGTGGTTAAAAGGTTTTAAAAGTCAGAAATTGAGTTTTTTTGAGTGTTTTTTTTTCTATCTTGTAAAGGACGTCAAAAATTTGTTTATTTGGCAGTGATGTATTGGTTGTCAAATTGGAGGACTTTTTTTGAAACGTCATCAAGGTGAAGAATTTATTGAAGTACCACAATAATAATGTCTTAAGTGTCAACCGTTATTACTATTAGTTTTCTATCTTTTGGTAATCATCACGTTTACCTACCTATAGGATGCCTTTTTTTTTTGCACTGAATAAGGAGTAAAAATTTTATTTGGTTAAAAATGATTTTGTTTTGTCTAGCACTTTTTTTTTTT